TTATAACATGTATTCATACTTTCTTTTTACTGCTGAATAATATTCTATTGTACAGATATGCCATATTTTGTTTGTTTATTGATCAGTCTATAGGCATTTGTTGTGTGTCCACTTCTCGCTATTATTTTGAATAATGCTGTCATGAACATTCACATACAAGTCTTTGTGTGGACGTATGTGTTTATTCTCCTGAGTATATACCTATGAGTATAATTGCTGGGTCATGTGGTCACTCTATGTTTAACTTTTTGAGGATCTGTCAAACTTGGTGTGTGTGTTTATGAATTTAATGAGCTCTATTTCCCATACCTTGAAATGCACCCATTTAAAGTATACAGTTCAGTGGTTTAGTATATTTACACAAGGTTGTGCAACTATCACCAGAATCTAATTTTAGAAAATTTTCATCACCCCAAAAAGAAGCATGATACTCATCAGCAGTTACGCTCCACTCCCACCCAAGCAACCACTAGTCTGCTCTCCATCTCCATGGCTTTGCCTGTTCTAGACATTTCACGTCAATGAAACCATGCAATCTGTGCTCATCAATGCTTTCTTTCACTTAGCGCAGTGTTTTGAAGATTCGTCTGTGTTACAGCATTTCTCTGGCTGAATCATATTCCACTATATGGCTATGTGACTTTTTTTCATCCAGTCTCTACCTCTGTCATCATGTGGCGTTTTCTCTGTGTGTCTCTGTTTTCTCTTATGAGGACACCAGTCATTGGATTAGGGCCCACCCTAATCCAGTATGACCTCATCTTAACCAATTATATCCTGAAGACCCTATTTTCAAATAAGGTCACATTCTGAGATTATAGGTAGACAGGGGTTTGGGAGCAGGGCGGGGGGATACTATTCAACCCAGTATAGGCACCAAGGAACAATCACATGAATTCAGGTGCAAATCCTTTTTTTTTTAATCCTCACCCAAGGATATTTTCTATTGATTTTCAGAGAGAGGGAGGGAGAAAGGAGGGATGGAGGAAGCGAGAGAGAGAGAGAAATATTGATACGAGAGAGAGAGACATATTGACTGGTTGCCTCCCGCACGATCCCGACCAGAGTCTGGGACTGAACCACGACCGAGGTACGTGCCCTTGACCAAAATCGAACCTGCGACTCTTTGGTCTATGGCCTGACACTCTAACCATTGAGCCAAACCAGCCAGGGCCAGGTAGAAATATTTTAAAGTTGCAAGCAGAAGTAGAATTTTGGCAAAGTGTAGTGCCAAATCAGCTTTGAAAGAACTTTTCTGGGGCTTTTAACCATTACAGAGTGACGGTTTCATAGACATGGCTTCATGCTGGTAGAATGGAGTTCCGAGTGTCTGAGGCCAACTCATCCAGGCCCCTACTTCATCTTAACAAACCTTTCAAAACATCTCTGATTTTGACCACAAGAAACCAGCATATTTGGATTTTTGTGCCAAGGAAAATTCTTATGTTTATTCAGCAGACATGCATTGAATACCCACTATGTGCTGGGCCTGTCCTAGGCACCAGGGATACAGAAGTGACTAGAACGTATTTGGTGTACTTACAACATGCAGAGTATTCTAGCCCGTTACTGCGTTTCATCCTTATAAATACCTATGTCGATTTGTAGATAAGGATACCAAGATTCAGAGCTGAAGGGACTTCTCTAGGTCTACAGGTAAACAGGCTGGGTCACAGATTTGATTCCATAGCCTGAGTGGGAGGCGGAGGGCCCCGGAGGTGAGGACAGGTCACTCCTCTTTTACTTTAATTTTTTTTTTCCTTTATTGATTTTAGAGAGAAAGGAAGTAAGAGGGGGAGAGAGAGAGAAACATGGATGAGAGAGAACATCAATTGGCTGCCTCCTGCATGCCCCCCACTGGGGATCAGGCCCACAACCTGGGCACGTGCCCTGACTGGGAATCGAACCTCTTGGTGCACGGGTCGGTGCTCAACCACTGAGCCACACCAGCCGGGCAGTCACTCCTCTTTTACACAGACCCACAGCCCAGCCATTCAACACAAGGAGCAGGAAGAATGTGTTGGTTGATAAGACAGGATAAGTAGATTGTGACAAAATGGACTTTCTTGTCATGCTAGAGAACCTGGACAATTAGGAATCAATGGATGTGGTTGAGGGAGTATGACTTACTATGTACTTCATTTATTTATTCAACATGTATTTATTGGGGTTGATGCTGGAGATAAAGTGTGATAAAAGGGACATACTATCTGCCCTTCCTGAGTTCACAGCCTAATCTCTCAATATGGAGTGATGAAAGAGAGGTTGCTATTTTCCTAAAATTCTCTTTGATATACAAGGAAGTACTGCTGAGGAGAAACAAGGTTGAAGAAATAAACAGGAAAGTGATTTTTAAAAGGGAGAGAGCTTTGTAAGTCATCTTGAGGGTAACGGATGCACTGAAGGATTCTAAGCAAGGCAGAGACATAATGATATGCTGTGGCTGTTGAGGAACAGGGAGGAGTCACAGATAATGTCTCAGATTCTGGCTTAGAGAACTGATTGGATGGTGATATTGATGTCCTTCACTGAGATGGAGAGCACAGGACGAGGTTGAGGAGTTCAGTTTAGATGACATTGATGTCCTTCACTGAGATGGAGAGCACAGGACGAGGTTGAGGAGTTCAGTTTAGATGACATTGATGTCCTTCACTGAGATGGAGAGCACAGGACGAGGTTGAGGAGTTCAGTTTAGATGACATTGATGTCCTTCTCTGAGATGGAGAGCGCAGGACGAGGTTGAGGAGTTCAGTTTAGATGACATTGATGTCCTTCACTGAGATGGAGAGCGCAGGACGAGGTTGAGGAGTTCAGTTTAGATGACATTGATGTCCTTCACTGAGATAGAGAGCACAGGACAAGGTTGAGGAGTTCAGTTTAGATGACGTTCAGGTTCTTCACTGAGATGGAGAGCACAGGATGAGGTTGAGGAGTTCGGTTTAGTTGATGTTGATGTCCTTCACTAAGATGGACAGCACAACATGAGATTGGGGACTTCAGTTTAGATTGTTAAGTTTGACTTGCTTGTGAGACATCTGAATGGAGATGCCCAACAGAAGGAGGGACATATGACAGGGAGCCCCAGAAGAGAGCTGAGCTAGAGATTAGGACTTGAGAGTTGTTGTCACATAGGTGGTAACTGAAGCTATGAGAGTGGACAAGATACCCCAGGAGATTCTCCTGAATGAGAGTGAAGCTGTAGCAGGGTCTGGGGCAGAATCCTGAAGAAGAAGAGGTTCATTGAAGAGGTAGGCAGAGGAAGAGGAGTCCAAAAAGACTACGGCAAATGTAGAATTGCACCAGAGGTTTTCTCTTTGCACCTTCCCTGTGTCTTGTCAGACAGCAGCTTGTGTTCATCCCGGGCACCATGGCTGCTCCATCCCCTAGCACAAGCCCTCTCTCCACTGCCATTAGAGAGTTCGTCTTGCAACTTGAATGGAGTAATGAAGCCATTGATTCTGTTAACACATGTCCAATTCACTACGAGACCTGTAATGGGAATTCATTTTGGAGGTCAATACAGCTGTCACTGGAACAGTTTTTCCCCAGAGGCCCATGGCTTTTTCTGTTGTACACGGGCAGAAGCTGTCCTGCCCAGCGTCAGAAACAACTGGGAGTGATTAGAGCTGTGGAGCTTTGATGAGCTGGTGATCCTGCCCAGGGCCTTGAGAACGGTACAGACTGAGGTAGGTCAGATAACAGGGAGTGGAAACAGAACAAGGTGCCTTCTGGAATGATTTGAATGACTCTGGAAAGCCACCATCACCACCACTGAAACACTATCCCCTACTAGCTATCATGCCACCAGAAATTACATCTTTAAAACTTTATTTCTTTTGCACGAGAAGTTTCACTGTTGGGATTATTATATGCTGAAAGAATGCATTTGCCTCTTCTGCAAACACAGACTGAGAACTTTCTATATACCTGCCCTCTATTAGGTAAATGCAGAGATTGTAATGACATCAGTCACTGTTCTTAGAAACCCACGGGCTAGGCAAGGAAGCAGTGACGATGGTATAATGAAGCATGGGCCAAGTGCTCTTGGCACCCAGAACAATGGCCAAGTCCAGGAAGGTCTCAGAGAGGGTATGATACCCAAGTCAGGTCTGCATGTGAGGACCAGGAGAGTAGAGGTGAAATCCGGGTAGAAGGAATAGCATAAGCCGAACAGAGTTGCTGTGTTCAGGGACTGAGGAAGCTTCTATATGCCTTGAGTATGGCAGGAGAAAAGCAGGAAATAGGTCAGACTGTGAAAGAACTTGTATGTTATGCTAAGAATTTGGACCAAGCTTAGAGCCAGCCAAATAAATAATGCCTTTGGCTTGGGGTGTAGCACTCTAAGCTATTATCTGTCTTTAATACCTCACTTCCTGTCTAACACAACAGACCGTGGGAGAGCTTAAGATAAGAGCTAAAAGAAAAAAAAAAAGACCAATAGAGTGGTAGGTGCAGGAGTTGGAGAATGGGAGACATTGCCATCCTATGAGGTCTCAGAAGGGCAGGCAGGAGGAGCTGAGAGACCGATTTAAGGGTCAGCTCCAAAGACATTTATTATTAATACAGTAAGGCACTTCAGGGTCTCAGTGAATGCACTTCAAGAAGCAAAGCTTCATTTAACAAAGGGCCTTAGCTTTGAGGGAGTGATGACAGCAGAAGCCACCAAAAAGAAGGCTCACTGCTCCTGAGGCTAGCCTCACTCCAGAGCCAGGGTCGTAGCCCCGGACCAGGGGTAGCCATGCTCCCCGGAAGTGGGGCAGATGCTGGCCCAGGTGTGGCAGAGAGTGGCTTCCAGGCGATACAGGGGCAGTGCAGAGGTACAGAGCATCTCCTTCTCAACCAGGAGGCCAGCGGGCCACAGCCCTCCTCTCTGGGAGGGAGAGGATGCTGCTGCTGGACCATCACCTCTACGCTTGATAGTTCTTCCTCTGACAACCCACTTTGGAATAGAACGCCTTTCTTTCCTTTTTCATTCACAGAGTCCTTTCTCCTTTTCACAGACTCCCTGAGAAACATTTCCTCAGCCAGTCATGGTCCGCGCTCCTCTCCAGCTGAGTTCAGCAGCTCCAATCAGCACCTTCTCCGAGAACGAAAATCCTCAGCCCCATCGCACTCCAGCCAGCCAACCTTGTTCACATTCGAACCCCCCGTGTCAAACCACGTGCAGCCCCCCTTGTCCACCAGTGCACCTCAGGAGTATCTCTACTTGCACCAGTGCATAAGCCGGAGAGCAGAAAATGCCAGGTAGGAGACTGCGGTTTCCAGTAGTTGGTTGAATGGCCACTCCCAAAGCCTCCTACTTTTCAGTCTTTGTTCTTTAATTTTAAAGACAAGGGGCCCTGGCCGGTTTGGGTCAGTGGTTAGAGCCTTGGCCTGCGGTCCAGAGAGACTGGGTTCGGTGCCCGCTAAGGGCACGTACCTCGGTTGCAGTTTGTCTCTGGCCCTGGTTGGGTCATGTGGGTGGCAACCACTCTATGTGTCCCTTTCACGTCGATGTATCTCTCTCTTCCTCTCTCTCCCACTCTATCTGAACAAAAAATATAAAAATGTCCTCGGGTGAGGATGAAAAAATAAAAATAAATAAAAATAAAGACAAGGGGATATGCCCTGGCCGGTTTTGCTCAATGGTAAGAGTGTTGGCCCGCGGACCAGAGAGGCCCGGGTTCGGTTCCCGCTAAGGGCACGTACCTCGGTTGCAGTTTGTCCCCAGCCCTGGTTGGGGTCATGTGGATGGCAACCCCTTGATGTGTCTCTCTCATATTGATGTTTCTCTCTCTCTTCTTCCCTTTCCCCCCCGCCCACTCTATCTGAAGATAAATGCAAAAGTGTCCTTGGGTGAGGATAAAAAAATAAGGGGATACAATATTACATCTTTCCAGATGATAAAATATATACTTACAAAATATTTTTCACTTAGATAACCATCACATTGTATTAATATCATCTATGTTGCTATGCAGTGCTCACTGGATTCCAGAGAAACCTCCCACTGTTAAAAATCATGATATAAAAAGTTTGTATTTAATTTGAGGGGGAAAAAGTCACTTAGGGCTAGAGTTTCAGAATTGAACAAAGACAAGTCATTGACTTGTTGGCCTAAAGAAGACAGCTACAAAGCCTTAACACCAAACAAATCCGTATCTCACTTCCTCTGTAGAGCTGCACTGTCTCGCATGGTAGCCACGGTCCCCATGTGGCTGATTCCATTCGAATTAATTAAAATGGAGTAAAACTTAAAATTCAGTTCCTCCATTGCACTAGCAACATTTCATGTGGCTAGTGGCTGCCACGCTGGATCATCCAGATGTGATATTTCATCATCACAGAAAACGCTGCAGCCGGACTGCCTGCCCTGGAACAGTGTCCCCGTGTTTCTGACACCGCCAGCCCTCTCAGGCGCAGAGCCTGTGCACGTCGTCCTTACCTTTTCTTTCCCCTGTTCGCAGAAACACGCACGGAGCTGATGGGCTTTGCCAGAGCTGGTTCCCGATGGCTACCGTGGCCAGCAGATTATAACTCGTGTTCCTTATTCATTTATTTATAAAGACTAATTTGTGTTATGAAAATTAAGGCAGTTAGAGGACTGGCTGTATTAATTTATCACTTCACAGAATATTTTCATGCATAATCTCACTCGAACCAGTCGAACTGGGAGATAGCCGATATAGATCATTTATCTCCATTTCACAGATGAAGAAACGGAGGCTCACCACTAATAAATGACGGAGGTAGGACTAGAACCCAGGTCTTCTCATTTCTGCTCCTGCGATCTTTTCTCTACACTGTGCTGCATTGGTTCTGGTTTTCTGAATCATTTACCAGCACTCGACAGAGGCACCCAGCATCAGACTTAGTGACACCTCAAATACCCCTTTGATTCATTTGTTTGTCAACTTTTCACCAGTTTAGCCTTCATGAACTTTTACATGTAGAGCTGAGTTCTGAAAAGGTAGAACGAATCAACCAAGATCACTGAATTCTTTAGTACGGAACCTTTACAGCACCCGATTCCTGCTGCACCACAGACCAGAGACGGGCAGATCACAGGCTTTGGAGTCAGTCAGATATGGATTCAAATTCGGGTTCTGCCACTGTCCTTGTGATCTTGGGCCACTTAGGTAACCTTCTTGACCTTCAATTTTCCTACCTACTAAATGGAAATAACTAATTCAAAGGCTTCCTAATGAGCATAAAACAACAAAACATACGTAAAGTCCCCAGGAGTAGATGCTCAGTCCATATCTTCGGTGGTTCTCCTGTGCCCCACCCCCTCCTACTACATAGATGATTTCTCGGGAGCAGAGACCTTGTGTGAGTTCCTACAGTCCTATTGCTAGGGAAAGACAAAGTGCTTTAGATTAACGCCTCTCAGACTTTAATGTGCATATGAAATACTCAGGTCTTGTTGAAATGCTGATTCTGACTGAGTAGGCCTGGGGTGGATCCTGAGATCCTGCCTTTCTGCTAAACTGCATGTGATACCATTTAGACTGTCTGCAGTTCACACTTTAAGTAGAAAACCTTATATAGTATTAACAGCTACCACCACCTCCAGTCTTTCGCTACTGCTACAGCAAGAGAGTAAATACATGCGTGCCTCTGCTTGGATTAGTACTTAGGGCACACTCTCTGTGCCCCGACTCCTCTGTGGAACCTCTCTTCATCTTCCTGGCTGGGATTCATCTGTCCTCTGAAGTCCCAGAGCAGCTTTTGATGATCTCTCTCTCAGCCCTTGGAACTGTCTGCCTCATATTATAGATTTTTATATTAATATGTTACTGTCCTTTGAAGACCCAGGGCACCTAGTAGGCACATCATAAATATTTGAACAAATCCGTGTTGTAGAGAAAACATAGTAAAGGTGATAGAACTCATCTACAGCTGGGGAAGTGCCTTTGTTCTGGGGCCTCGACCAAACTGTGCTTTTCTCTGGGTCTTTGCTCTCACTTATGTGGGTGTTGGAGCAAGAGTGGAATGAGCAGGATGTCAAGGAGATTTTTGGAAAAAATGAGTTCAAACGTTTTTTACAGAATTCCAAGGGGGGAAAGGAAGCATTCTTCAGTCCAGAAAGACTACATAGTTTCTGGTAGCAGTAGAGCAGCTTGCATGATATTAAACATACTGTAACAATTATAAACTCTGGACCAAACACACAGACACACAAAAACCGTTTTAGGGCACTGAAGGGCAATCAAAAAGCAGGCAGAAACTGGAAAAGATGTGACTCTTAAAAGAAGGGACCCACATGGAGTAAGTCCAACTTTTATGGCTTTTCCAGTGAATAAAATTCCTGAAAATATATCACCCACAATATTTAGTATACAATGAGAAATTGCTAGACACACGAAGAAACTGTAAAAGTTGACCCATAGTTGAAAGAACTCAGTTCAGCCCTGGCCGGTTTGGCTCAGCGGTTAGAGCGTCGGCCTGCGGTCCTGAGAGACCCGGGTTCGGTTCCCGCTAAGGGCGCGTACCTCGGTTGCAGTTTGTCCCCGGCCCTGGTCGGTTGTGCAGGTGGCAGCCACTCGATGTGTCCCTTTCACGTCGATGTTTCTCTCTCTCTCTCTGTTCCTCTCTCTCCCTCCCACTCTACCTGAACAAAAAAAAAAAAATGGAAAAATGTCCTCGGGTGAGGATAAAAAAAAGAAAAGAAAGAACTCAGTTCACAGAAACAAACCAAACTAAACCCAAATTTTGGAGCTAGCATACAAAGATGTTAAATGATTGCATTTATTGCTTTAATCTATGGGGGGGGGGCTGATAATGAGTGAAGAGATTGTTAAATTTAGGAGAGAGAGAGAAACTCTGAAGAAGAGCTTAGAGGAATTTCAGTTCTACATGTGGGACAGTCCCAAACCAGCAAAGCAAAGGCTTTGTAAACTAACTGAGATTTACACGAACACACACAGGAGGAGGTTCAAAATTTGCAGTCTGAACCTAACCAAGTTGATTGCCTGAAAAAACAAAATCATGAACATTCTCCAGAGGATTATCCCAGAACCCAGAGTCTAGACAACATAAGATCACAACATTCAGGATATAATCCAAAATTTCTCAGCATGTAACAAGTCTCAAGGGAAGGCACAGATATCAACCCCAACATAATCCCAGTTGTGGAAACTATCAGACACAGATTCAAAAGGCCATATTATAACAATCTGCCATGTGATAAAGAAAAATACACTTGAGATTAATGGAAAGGGAAAAGAAAAAATTCTGTCAACCCAGAATTCTATATCCTGCAAAAGTCCTTCAGAAAGAAAAACAAAATTAAGACATTCTCAGTACAAATAAAAGTAAGAAAATTTGCCCTGGCTGGTTTGGCTCAGCGGTTAGAGCATCAGCTCCTGGACCAAAGAGTCACGGGTTTGATTCTATACAAGGGCACATACCTTGGTTGTGGTTCTGTCATGCAGGAAGCAACCAATTGATGTCTCTCTCTCACATTGATGGTTCTCTCTCTCTCTCTCTCTCTCTCTCTCTCCCTCCCTCCGTCCCTCCCCCCCCCCCCCCCCACTCTCTCTGAAGATAAATGGAAAATATCCTCAGGGAGGATTTTTTTAAAAAGAATTTCCAGGAAATCTGATTTTTTAAAATGATAAGGAAGTTCTTCAAGCTCAAGCAAGATAGTAACAGAAGGGAACAAAGATCTTCAGGAATGAAGGAAGAGTAGCAGAAACAGTAACTAGCTGCATAATTATAAAAGACTATTTTTTTCCTCCTAAGTTCTTTATTAGTATATAATGAGTGTTGAAAGCAAATGTTAAACATTGTCTAATGGGTTTTCACTTGGTTTTATTTACCTTCAGCCTGAGAGCCTCCTTTACCATTTCTTGTCATGTAAGTTCCCTCACGATATTTTTTTCCCAGTTTTCATTTATCTGAAAATATCTTGATTTTACCATCATTTTAAAAATATTTCTTTTGCTGGGTGTATAATTTGGTAATGATGGTTTCATTTTCTTTCATCATTTTAAAGAATGCCATGCTATATAGTCTTCTGACCTTCATTGTTTCTGATGAGAGGTCAGCTGCTATTTTTATTTTCATTTTTATATGTAATGTTTTTTTACAAAGGTGCCAACAGGGAAATGAAAGTATTTTCAACAAATGATGCTGGGTCAGCTGGATATCCATATAGGAATAAAAAAAGAACCCTTACTTCATATCACACTACTCAAAAGTTAGCTTAGATGGCCCTGGCCGGTTTGGCTCAGCGGTTAGAGCATCAGCCTGCGGTACAG